CAACTGAGTGAAGCGTAGGTTGGCACAAAGAAAGCAGTCAATGTATGGCACCGAAGTTTGGTTAGAGCTCCACGCAGTTTATGAGAATGAATGAGCGATTTAGTTCAGTACGAATGAGAAACAAGAGTTAGTGGACAAGCCTAGTTTTGTGGATCATCATCAGGCTACTAGAACTAAGGAGGCTAGAATGAAGCCGAATACACAAGGTCAGAAAAGGCAAGGAGTAAAGACCTTCAAGAGCGCTGGCGGCAGTCATACTTTGCTCTCGAGGATTGAGGAGTTAATCACTGCTGAAAACGTAGAGAGCTTTCCCGATTAGTTAGCCCAAGTCGACTGGGTTTACTCAATCGCTGTGCACTCAGTGTGGACCATGTAAACTCCTCTGCTACTTTCGTGGATATCTCTAAGCTTTTACAAACAACACTTTCACATATTGATTCCAATAGCTTTCTTCCTGTTCCGCTGTTGTTTGTGTCGCTACGATCTAGTTCAGAGTGCAGTCGGCAAATCTTGCCACGACTAAATCCAACTACTCAATCAATCAGCGGCGTTGCTGAAAGCCACATTATTCTCCTTGCTACGTTCATTATCGGGGTGCATTCAGCGGACAAGGAGGGATGCTGACGACTGGAGTTAACACCTACATAAATATAACGCGACGCAACGCATCACACATTACCCTACACGGCAGTGCTATTCCGAAAAGAGAGCTGGTAGCAATACACTGAGTTCAATCAGTATGGCGTAAGACAACTGTGAGGTAACGGAATGGAAAAATCCTGTTGGATAGCTCATACATACATCGCGCGTATACGTCACTGATCGCAGAGAACGGTTCCAAACGAATACATCAATGAAAAACACAACGGCGCTGTATGTCTAGATTATGTCGTAGACAAAGCGGGAGGAGCTCCATAGGAAAGTCGTGGTATCCCTAGTGAAACCAGCTGAGTAAATTGGAGCGCCTACCTACGAGCACCACTGGCGTGCATAGCCAAGGGTGATGGATCATTCTCCATTACACAGAGAGTATCGTCATAAACAAAAAATAACATCAGTGTTTTCAATCAAGGAGATCGAATAACTAGTTAAAGGTGTAAGTTCAGATCTGAACTAATGGGCAAATCGGCTGAGCCTCCATGGGAAGGTATCGAACGAGGGATTCTGCGATAAAGTCCACTCAGAAGCCCGAAAGTTGTTCACACAGTGTTGCTACCATTGCTTTAGTTGGGTATGCGAGTATGTCCACCTTGAAGTTACCTTGTACGCCTCGTCACCTGTAGATCTAGTTCGGTTATATATGAAGGGCATCGCGGTCAAAGTATCTGTTTCGATGCGGACGATGTGCACACAAATGGGAGCGATTGGTATAAAACACAGAGATATGAAACACCACATTAACCACCTAAGCGTATCATATGGTGGCCCAGGGGACAATTTGGTGCTCAGACCAATGATTGGGATGGAGTGAGCTGAATACATTTGAAAACCCTTCCTTCTGTTGTCATTTCCGATTGCGCGCGTTTATGGTTAGAGTAACATTTGCCCCATAGAGCATCGATGCTGTTAGAGTTAAAACAAAAGAAGTTGACTAGCTTAACTCGATCAATCTCTGACGGTACATCGATCGCGTGCTTGTTCTAGGGTGTTAGGCCAGTTAGAGGTCACCAAGCGCTGGAAGAAAATGTGCATTGGTGTGTTCTGTGCATTATGACGTGAGTATTCAAACAGCAATCACTGGTGCTTGCGGAAAAATATACCCAGCTGGTGGGAACACTGAGTTCCGCCGGTTGGTTATTGTAGAGGAACCTTCTGTTGTCTGAGTGCAATGTCTGTTAAACTTGAAGCGATTACGTTGGGTAGACCATTCCTTCGTGTGTCCGTTGACCGTTTTCATAAGCGTGCAATATACGTTGTCCCAGCATCCAGTTGGCCGAAACCGCGAGGTGGGCAGTCGATAAGGTGGAGCAGGAATACGCAGAAATCGGTCCAGAGGCTTAAATAAGTTGGTGCATACCGTCTTCGTGGATGAGGACGTGTGATGAGCCCACGTCATTTATTGGAGCCCGCTCGAACATTGCGTAGTCGCGGGATCAGTGGCGCCACTGCATCCGGTTTCTTGTATGTAACTGTTAACATTCCATCCCGATTAATTTTGCCCATTTCCCAACCTCCTTTCTGATTTGGTATCTGCACCATTTTCATCAACTTGACAACGCGAACCATGGCAACCGGTCCCATTGCATTTGATTGCCCGAATCACAGTCGTTAAACTGAACCGAACTGATTTAAATGCCAAGTTCGGCTTTTGTTTGGGATCACTATACATTAGCTGGACGTAAGAAACGCACTCCAACTACTGTGCTGCAATACAAAAGATATGTAAAAAAGGTGACACAAATTATAGGATACAAAAAACAACAGGTAATATACTTCTTAGTAACATATTATGCTTCAAGACTGAGATTGTGGTTGGAGGGGGAAGATAAACGGAATGAGGGGAGATAAAGAAACATACCAAAAAGTTTTCGCGGTCAACTCGTCGTCATGTCAACTAGCGCACCCAAACAAACGTATTCACTGTCCTTGGGATCTAAGCTCCGTAGTCAGGAGACACCAACCGACGCCAAGTGCGAAGTGGGGGACATCAATGCTCTTGATCAAGTCATCGGTTGGCCTCCTCTCCTCTCCCTCTACTCACCCTAACGGCGCTGAAACAACGCACATCATGGGATTTATTGCTTCCTGAACCCAGTTAGGTACTAGTATGAGTTCCCTGGAACCAGCCAAAAGTCCGGAAGTAAGGGAAGCTAGTTTATGCGCTTTTCCGATGGTTTAGAAAGACTTAACGAACTTAACTTAACTAAGATGTCCGTTATCGAGAAAAAGCGTTGTGGAAAAAGTTTAATGATCCAGTCGACCACAGAAGTAGGACAATCACGACTCAGTCTTCCATCTCGAGTGGGGAGCGATAGATGGAGGTTAGACACATGCGATTGATGTCAACGAGTCTAGGGTGGCCATCAAAGTTAGTCGTGATCTACGATTCCTTTCGGTAGAGTTCATAACACACTCGATTCTGTTTTTATAAAAAACCATTATATTTTCATTTTTATCCGACTTCAATTATTATCATGTGGATTTATACGAGTAATAGTTTGAAATCGCCATATGTTTCCGCGTTCACAAGCTAGGCCTTTTCCAAAGGCCAAGCTGTAAGGAATCAAGCGAACGAATTTACAAGAAGCGCAATGATTGTGCAAGAAAACATCGCGCTAGATGGAAGGTTGCTCTTCAGTAGAAAAAAAACTAAGAAGCATGAGCACACCAATCTTACCTCAAACGTCGGTTCGCTTTTAGGGAAAATGGATGAACAAGCACACCATCAAGTCCCGAGAATATTCACACCTAGGCATTAATTTGATACAGCAGACCTGGCTTCACGAGGTGGATGATGCACTTATTGAAATAGCGGGGTTTAGTTATCATCGGGTCGATTACCGCTGCTAGTACTGTAATTGTGGTGGTGGAGTCATCATATACACCAACACTTCCTGGCCCTCATCTACACAAGTTTAGCCTTGCTTCTCTTCGCAACAAATTAGCTGATTAGTTTTGAGTTGCAAGCCAAGATGTAGCGGTGAATATCGCTCAGCTAGCTAACATCCATAGTTCCCTTACATGTCCGAAAATGGGAACAGAGACCTTTTAAGATAAGTCTGTTGTGGCTGTCACAGAACACATCGATTGTTCTCTATGTTTTTGCTGGTGATTTTAACTAAATTGACATCGGTTTTCTCATCAGTCTTGGTTTACAGAACTTAGTAACCTGTCCCACCAGATGCAATGCGACTGTGGACTGAGCATTCGCAAACAACGTGGAGCTGTTCTTCGTGTGTAATAGGTCAATATATATTGATTAACTATGAGAAACGGCATAACCCACCTAGTTCGGTTTAGTTTTTTGTTACTAATGTATCCGCTTATTGCAATTAGTTGACGGGCTGTCAGAACATCCGTTTTGACATTTGCTGTCTATGCGAAACTCTGTTCATCCGTGCGGACAGATTCGCTTCCCCCACCTGAAGCGGCTAGATAGACAAAAGAAAAAAGCCTCCAAAGGAAAAGACAACACTTCAGTAAAGTCACGCTCTGTCCATATAAAGGAGGAATTGCGACATCTCAAAAACGTGTACATTCAGGTTATAATTAGGAATAGTAGATGCCGTGAAAGAACAGAAGAGAAAGGCACCAGCAGCACGCCGGTACGCAGTACCGACGCTTCGCTGTCGTGCAACCACCACCGGTCGCACGTGGGCTAAGGATACTGCGAGGGTCACCCTGTTCCTACGCAGGCTCGAATCCGCGCCGCAAAATTACGAGACAAAGTCGTTACGTATAGGCTACGGACCGGCAGATGCCGTGAAATTTGGAGGATGTTAAAACATCTAAACGGACTTACACGACGTACATCAACCTCCGACGTAGACGTGGTGAAACTGAACCCTGGCTTCTGCGACTGCTACAACAATCCAATCTATGATTAGCTCAGCCTACATTCTCTGCAGACTCACTGCCCCCCTGTCGACAGCTGTACTGTACACAAGTTATTGAAACAGCTCCACTCAGGGAACACAAGGGGTCCGGACAGACTGTCTCCTTCTATCCTCAAGAGGTGTGCGGACTTCCTGAAAAAACCGCTGGCTAGTTTGTATACATCATGTATTCAACAACATAAAATTGCCGACTGCTGGAGAGGTGTCAGTACACATCAATATAAAAAACGGCACATGCAGATGTCGACGAATTGCTTATACTTCAGTAGTCTTAGTATTCGAAAAAATCATTCTTGAGAGGATTCTGAAAAAAGCACAGATCCAGATCATCTGAAGGCGCAGTAGCCTACATTGTGGATTCGGTTGATATCAATGGACAATAAAATCAAGTTCACTTGAAATGCTTAGCACAATTATATCAGACACCAGACTCCGACGACTGGGTCACGTGTTGCGTATGCCAGCACACCGACTCCCGCGACGTGCGTTATCTGCGCGATCGAGATCTAGATGAAAGAGGAGGGGAGGCCAAGTGATGACTTAGTCAAAAGGAATGAAAACCTACACTTCGAAATTGGCGTCGATTGGTTGAGGTCTGAAAGACGATAAACATGTTTGCTCAGATACACTAGTTGACATGGTGAACAGCCGGCCCCAATGGCGTTCGTGTCGTCAGTTTCTTGGTCCGCTCCGCTCCCCTTTAGGTCGTTAAGACACCTAGCGCGATGTAGCGGTGCATAAAAACTGACTTGTTGATATACATATGTTCACTCATGTTGGTTCATGCAAGAGACTAGCGTCAACAGTATTGCTGACCCCCCCCCAACATCGTGCATTGTCGGAATGTGTGTGGATCTCGTCCTAGCAGATAGAAGTCCAAGTGCATATATGCCCGAACACGGACTGTCATTCTCGTTAGTTGTTTTTTATCAAGTGTGATTTTCGTTAAACATCAAAGAAGTTGTCCAATAATTAAACAACCAGATTATGCTATGATGGTGTTGTTATTCCACCTACTTGAATCGAATTTATGTTATGCTAAAGCTGTGTAAGCGTATGTGTTACGGTTGAATATTTACCCGTCTTGCGTACGTAAAGTGTCTTCTTGACTGGAATTATAAGTACATTGAATTAAGCATAAATATATGCACGAAGCGGGTGCTCACAGTTAATACCAGCGTCTTCTAGATTAGCTTAAAAACCTGTCACTTGTCGATGGAATGACGCGGTACACTGATGACAAAATGATGTGAGATTCAAAGATTGATGACAGTTTATCAAGAACACAAATGCATGTTTTACACGCGTACTCACTGCGTCAATGCATCCGAAAGTGGTTCCCAGTAGAACATCTGTCAAAAGCAGTCTGAAATTTGACGTGGCGCGATGTTTTGCGTGTCTCAATGATCCATGGAATCGTACTGAGTGATGCTTACTGAACCTTCAGAATCAGTCACACCAGATTGGTCAATGGTCAGGTGCCAGACAGACTCAGTAACCTGGCCATCCAGAATGGGAGTTGGAGTAAGGGTAGCTAAATAATCCCTAGACGGAATCCACGCCATACACACACTAAAATAAAGGGGTCGATTGATAACCCAAATCATTCTCTTGGCTAGGCCTGAGCAAGCAGACAGAATCCGGCCTACGCAATATAAGAAATTCCTCTTCACATAATTTCTGGATGCTCTGGCTGTCACAGAGGATGGTCAACGGCGCCCTATCTACTGCATCGACCAGATTGGATAGGGGTTTGGCTGCTACTGCACAAGCCTTCCTGTCTTCTTATTCCCCATCTTACACCCTTTGATCTTCATCGTCCCGTCCTAAGTTCACTAGCATCTCCTCCGATGTTAACATTTCACCTTGATTTCATAAGCGTTTGTCTTCGTTTCGGCTCACACACAACCGCAATGAGTCACTTCTGGCCTACCGGCAAGTTCATGTCTAACTATGCGGATAACTTCAGTACATCCGTTTCAATTTGGAGCATGCAATCCTCGTTAACACTGACATGCCTCAACGTGAGCACCCTGCTACGTATCGGCGAACAGGCAGTACTTGTCCGAATACCACAGACACAATCGATCGATATCGGTCGCATATCAGAAATCCTTATGCAAGACTCGAGCCCTGTTCCCACTCTACGTCGCCTACATGTGACACAAGGTCTATCCGGAAATAATATAGATTCGAATGCTGAACAAGCCGGTGTGGGCATCGCTCTGAGCACTCGGGCTGAGGCTGTCTTGGTAGACCAGATCCAAACCAGTAACTTGAGGTGTGCTATCCGACTAGAAGGCTTGTTCAGTTTTAAAGTCGCACGAGGCCAACAGGTGCCTGTCTGTCGTCGCTACCTACGCCCACACAAATGGTAGTGCTGGCTGGTGATTTGAACGCTAGAGTTGGAAAAGTGTCTAACGATGAGCTTCGTCTGGGTGGCCAACACCGTGTAGACTCCAGTCTTGATAACGGTGAGCAGGCGCTAGACATATATATATATATATATATATATATATATATATATATATATATATATATATATATATATATATATATATATAGGTTCGCGGCATACGGATGGGAGCCAGGTTTCATCAACGGAGCCGGCCCACACTCCTTCACAGGCAAACACAAACACGCTGTATTTGGGAAGCAAGCGCACACAAGGTGGTGGATGGACCGTAGTCCGCTCCACACTAAGTGCATGGAACCACTCTTTGATCCTAACACGGCCACAAGAACTGTGCACCCTGTCCCCTCCAGCAACGACCAACTGTCTCCTAGAGCCAGTATGGACGAGGTAGTGGGTAATAGACAGGTAGGCACCTTGTCAGCATGCACATCAACCGCAGCCACCCCGAGGATATCAACAGCCAAACACTTGAGAGAAGGATAACAAAGAAAATAAATCGAACAATGCATAAGAAAACGGGGACCTAAATCTTAAATTAATGAGCGGATGAAATAAGTTAACAAAGGATCCGAGATAAGTTCATGAGGTCAGAAAGTATATTTTACGGAAATGCGAAAAATACGAAAATGTTATCGAAATTAACTACAATTCGCTTAAGCGAGTTGTGCAGGTTTATAAAAGAGCGTACAGGTGGATAGTTATTTGAGAAAAAAAGCATTAGTAGAAATTGAAAACCCACCACCTGAAATAAATAGACTTAGCATGCAAGCATGCAGTTAGTAAATCGAATGCAGCGTATCTACAAACGCCGCGCCGGTTCTGTCTACGTTCTCTGCAGGACCCGTCATCGCTTCGGTAGTGGTCCCGAGTGACCTCGCTCATGGCTCACTAGGCCTACCTGACTCAGGCACTTGCGACCGCACCATGCGCTTGATGTCGATGGAGTACAACCCATCGGTGCTTGCCGCTTCTTCTCTGCATGTATGAGGTCTTTCTCCCGCACTTCGACAACTGCCTTCGTAATCAGATCGCATCATGCACGTCGATCAACCGCCTTCGATACCCATGACCTGCAATCAAGCTTAGGACGTGAGAGGCTCACTTTGATCATGTCCTGGTAACGTAACTTTGATTTCCCCACGTGCCGCTTTCCAATACTCAGCTGACCATATAATTGTTTCGGCATCCGCCTCGAATCCATACGGCTCACATGACCGAGCCACCTCAGTTGTCTCAGCAAAAGTATGCAGTCCACTGCATACATCCCACTTCGGCGCAACACTTCCGTGTCCGCAACTCTGTTGTCCCAACCGATGCGCAAAATCCGTCGCAAACACTGCTGATGGAACCGCTCGAGATATCGCACATCCCGACGGTACATCGTCCACGTTTCATTGCCGTATAGAAGAACAGACAGCACCATGGATTTGTACACCATCAGCTTCGTGCCAATGGTAAGCTGATGGTTGTTCCACACTCGGTACTCAAAGTTCCCGAATGCCGCCGCTGCCTTCTGCACGCGGATACGAAGCTGGCTGTGTAGCTGCTGACTAGTTGACATCACACTCCCAAGGTAGGAGAACCGCAAGGTGGTTTGCAATACTTCAACACCAATGCTGATTCGCGGCAATATTGAAGATTGTACCTCCGGTGAAGGCTGAAAGAGACAGACAGTTTTGCTTGTGTTGATGGTAAGCCCGAATTCGGCCGCTGTCGAAGCCAGAGCACTAGTCATGTGCTGCAACTCATCCGCGCTCTGTGCAAACAACGCATAAGCGTCAGCAAACAGCAACATACGGATAGTTGTCTCACAGACTAGAGTCCTCACACCGAAACGACGGACGTTCAGCAACCCACCATCAATACGGTGCTCCACACGAACACCGTAAGCACAAGCGGCATCAAAAGCACAGGACAACATTGCATGAAGATTTATATTAAACAGGGCAGGAGCTAAGACACAGTCTTGCTTCACACCAGAGACAACTGCAAAGTCATCCGAGGTCTGTCCACTGAGCTGCACCCTCGCCCGCATACCACTGTGCAGACATTCAATTAAACTTAAACTTACGCGGGCAACCAAACTTACCCAACACCAGCCACAATGCCTCGCGGTTCACCGTATCAAATGCCTTGGTGAAATCAAAAATCGAGTACAACGGCTGGTGTCGTTCTCTACATTTTTTTTGCAACTGACGAGCCGCAAACACCATATCTATAGTGATGCGACCCGAACGGAATCCACCTTGCTCTTCTGCCACGTTTGGTTCCACAACCTGACTGACGAGGAGGTTGAGCAGGATTCGGGCAATCACCTTGCACACACAACTCAGCAAGTTGATGTCACGATAATTCGTGCAACATTGCTTGCTCCATTTACCCTTGTATAGTGGTAGCACAAGAACATCGTTCAGCTCAGAAGGCACCTCCTCCTCAATCCATACACGTTGCACCAAGTGGTGCAGCGCAGTCAACAACGCGGGTCCGCCGTATTTCGATACTTCAGGCGGGATCCCCTCGGCTCAGGCACACTTACCGTTTCGCAGCTGAGCAAGTGCTCTCTGCGTCTCATACAGTGTCGGCGTGTCCGCCAGACTCGTCTTCACATCGTGCTGCTTCAGGCAGTTCAACGTAGGCCAGTCGATCTCTGAACGGTTGTTCAAGAGAGAGTCGAAGTGTTTCCACCAGATCTGCATTATGTCTGCAGTCTGTGTGCAGGTAGCGCCTGAACTACCATCGATCAGTGTTCTCAGCCGTTCCAATCTCGGTGCATACACCACCTTCAAGGAGTCAAAGGATTCCTTGTGTTAGCAGCGTTCGGCGTAGCATTCCATCTGCTTCGCCTTCCCTGTCCCCCATGCATTTTTAATGCGACGGAGCACTGGGGTCAATCACCGTCAAATTTTGCGAAACTGACTCTTCTTCCCCAAGTCTCTTGGGTCCGCGACATGTGCAGCAAATGTTGCATTCTTCTCCGACACCAATGCACCAATCGTCACATTGTTCTCATCACACCAATCAGGCCGCTTACAGTTTGCGAGCCCGATGGTTACTTCGGTAGCAGCTGTCACCTGGTCGCGAATATGGTGC